CATGTTTGATTCATTTTGAAATATTTATTTGGAATTATTTGCTCTCATTCATATTTAATTTTGTGAGCTCTTGTTCATGTTTGATTCTTTAAAAAATATTTACGATCTTTTTTTTAAAATTTTAATTAATGAAAATTATTACAGATTATGGTGATTATAATGTTAGTATTTACTCTCCCAATTTTAGCGTAGATTTTATGTGCTTTGCCAATTAAGTTTGATTAGTGAGCTAAGATATATAATCGCTGATATTGGGGATTGAAATTTGTGAGACAAATATTAGTTTAGTAAATGCAATATGAATTTGGAAAACATATGCTATAAGGTTTTTCATGTTATTTAGGTATGCTTATTCATAATGTTATTTGTGAATCGTCAGGATTTTTTGTTAATAAAAATTATTGTTTGCAATAATCTGCCCAAAGGAAGTTATTATATGCATCAATTTTCAAATTTGCATTGAGTTAAAATTTAAAATAATGTGAAATAATTATGTACTATGTACTCTGCCCAAAGAAAAGTTTATAATATGCTAATTATTTCGTTAAAATTATTGCATTGCCAATAATTAATATAATTGCAGTTTTGTAATAAATATACTTATGATATGAATGAAAACAATGTCATAATAGAATTGTTGATTGGATTAAATTATAATGAATAGATATGATATCTAGATTTTTTATTATGAATTTTGATCTTGATAAGGTATTACGTTAAATTTAGCCTATAGTTAATGTGGAGAGTATACTTCATATTTTCTTTAGCGGGAGAGATATACTTGATTTTAGGTGATCTTGAAGTTATTATGGAGTTAGTGGAAGATATTTGCTTAATTTTTTATATCAAGATACGAGTTTGTTTTGAAATAAACTATTTATGAGGCCTTTTATAAAGATTTTTTGATTTTTATCCTGTTTGGATCACCTTGAATTTTAATTTTAAATTTGGTGATGGAAAAATAATGTTAAACTCTCAGGTCATTGGCTATGAGTTTTATTTAATTATATGTTTTGTGAAAGACTTAATTATTAATACATTGGTTGACCCTCTAATCGAAGGACTTAGGCCCATGATATTTAAAATGCATGTGAAGAACATGAATATAGTGAGTTCTCTTGATTTAGTTGATTAGTGGGAGTTTGAATTATTTATTGTTTTACGGTGTTGAACCATTTATTTTGGATATAATTGATGTTTGGTTGACAGATAAATTATTTAGATGCAATTAATAATGCTTTGAGTTTTTTTTTTTTTTTTTTTTGATAACAACTTTGAGTTTTATTATTGTATATATTGAGTACTTGTATTTATGTTTATCAATTATCAAATATTTTGGAACTCAGTGTCGTTGGGACCACCATGCATGTGGTTAACACTATATTGGAGTTTGAGGCATGATTTTGAAACTCAGTGTCATTGGAACTATTACATATGTGGTTGACACTATATGGGAGTTTGAGACATAATGGTGTTGTTAGGACTACAGGGCCCATAGTCGACACCATATTTGATTATATGATGGTTTTTTGATAACCCATGGAATTTCTCTGCCTTTAAGGCATTTGAGAGAAATTTGAGGACTGATAGAGAAAATAACAGTTTGGCTGTTGTTGGATCACATTTGCATGCTTTTCTTGCTACACTCCACACTAATGACTAGTCGACGGAGTCAAGTAACATTTGTGACCATGGAAGGTCTTATATCAATAAGAGTATAATCACCGTCTGATTCAATGTTATTTGATTTTAGTTGGATGAAGTCATATTCAGATATCGCACCTTGGATCATGTGTTTTCCTAAAAATTAGCCACATTATAAAAATTAGTCCTTAGCTCGATAGTCGTTTTCAAATAACTTATTTTTCCTTTTTCCTTTTTTCTTTTTATTTTAATTAAAAATTTACAATTGATTTTGCCCAAGTGGAAGAACATTAGAAATTTTATAATCATATGGGCTTCAATCAATTATAATTTTTCTTGTTTTAATAAAAATGGACTAAGACATAATCTATATAAGGGTACAACAAAAAGCCCATTTAATTAAGTGATCATTTAGTTTGGGTTTGGATACTTGTAAACTGATTAGTGTGGGTAAAAATATAAGCCTAACCCATAGGCCCATGATGGAAAGAGGACTAGGGTTAATAAGTTTGGCTAGGTACCCTCTGCATTCACAGTGTATTGAAAAATCGTTACTCCACAACCCGCCCCATCGACAATTGTGATCAGGGAGTAGTGTGAACTGCAGAGGAAGATCCTAGTCTTTCCAACCTTGCAAGAATGCCAGAGAAGCAAGAAGCAAGAAAGCCTTCAACAATCATGTCTTCAAGTAAGCCTAACTTTATTGGTGTTCTAATTTCATATAATCTCATATTGAAATTTCTTACATAAGCATCAATCCCCTTTTCTTGTTTAGCAGGGATATACAGTCTGTTCAAGTTGCTAGTAATGCAATATAACTGCTCAGTAAGTTGTGATCAGAACGTCTCCACGTCCTTACTGATAAGTTTTTATGTAGCTTCTCCTTTTCCATACTAACAAAACTTGGAGCCTCGGAACAAGTGGACTCTGTAAGAACCCGCACCATTAATTAAGAAAATTAATTAATTAATTATGTGAAATTAGAAAATAATTCCATAATTGACCCTAATAATTATGATAAGGCTTAAATAATTATGGTAAGTAAGTAATAATGTTGGAAGTCGTTTTTCTGACAAAAAGTGCAGATACCGATTCTGCAACTCGGTATAAATGCGTACCGATGAAGTATCCCGAAAAATTACGAAAAGTGTGTATATGTCACTAGAATAATATATAGGTCTGTGATTTCAAGTTTCAAGTTAAAATAATGAGAACTGGTGCCAGAACTGATACTGGCTATGGAAAAGCGCGTACCAGAAAGGTGCTGCGAAAAATAAAATAAAAATATGAAAAATTTTAAAAAAATGAGTAGGTTCAGAATCTTAAGTTTGGGATTAAAATGATATGCGTAGAAATTAGCACTAATACTGTGTGATTAAAACTAATTAGACTATATATAGGTGTGCACCAGTTTTTAGGTCAGAAACTTAACATTCTCTACTAGAGAATTTGCTGAGTGTGAGCTGCCACCTTCTTCCTTGGGCTCTCTTGCATGAAAACTCTTCCAAGTCACCTCATTTACCATGGATTCTTCTCTTTAAGCCTTGTAAACACTTAGAGGTGTGTATTTGGAGGGTGAAAGCCTTCATCTTTCTGAGTTTTGTTGCTGTGTGGTGAGAGTTTGGGAGCTGAGTTCCTTGGTTTGAGTGGTTGAAGCTATTTTTTTGGTGGTTGGTACTCCAAGAAGCTTTCTTTGTGAAGAAATGACCTTGCTTTGTTATCATTTTCGTATTCTTTACAAGTCTGAGCTGTGAGGGCTTTGTGGTGAGCTCCAAGAGCACCTTTGTTTCTGTTCCAAGCCTTGGTGGTAAGCACCATCATCTTTATCTTTAGTTTCTTAGTTAAAAATGGAGCCTTGATGCATGTAATGAGCAAAAGATAATAACTTAAGGTTGGGTAAGGTTAAACACACCTAGAAATGCATGCTTAAGCTTCTGAAATCGTGAAATGAACCACATTTGGATTGATATCTCGCGAAATGCAGAATCTGAGTTCTACCGCGAAATATCTGGATATTGGGTTAGAAATATCCAGATATTGATATCCGAATATTGATATCCGGATATGGGGTTCTGAATATTCAGATATTGATATTTGAATATTGCCAGACAGATATACGGATATTGATATCGGGATATGTCCCCGACGAATATCCGGATATTCTGGATTTTCGAAGAACAGTGGCGGTACTGTTCATACAGAACTGAGTTATGGGTTTGTAGACCCTAGATTGTGGAAGTTGAACTTCTGTAATGATTAAGTTAAGTCAGAATCAAGGGATTAAGGGCTTGTGGCTTTGTGAGAAGCCTTAAGACTTGGAACGCAAAGGAAAGGCGTTGTCTTTATATCGTATGCTTGTAGAGTATAAATATTGATATTGTTATTGGTCCTAACAGATTGTGATTGTGTTGTGTGTGGGCCTTGAGCTTGTGTGGACTCTTGGCTTGGATAGCTAGCTTGCATGGTAAGCTTTCGTGTCCTCGATTTAGCCATTGTTTGTTCCACCATGTCCCATGGGGGATGGTTATATGCATGATGTGTTTTCATGTATTATTTTACTGAAATGTTATTGACATGTTAAGTGCAAATGCTATATGATATGTATGTGGTGTTCCGCCTAGACAGGAAGCCATGGGGTGGTCCTGTGGGTGGGTACAGCTTGGGCATGTACTTATGTGGGTAATAGACGTATTCCTGCATTTCTCTGATCAGTAGAATAGTTATAACACACATGACATGAATATCTGCTGCATTGCACTAATTTTGGAACTGATATTGAGTTAATGCTTTTAGAACTTATATTGCACATGTAAGTGAGCTTGGGGTGGAAGATCGTTGAGGACCCCTTGTCTTACTAAGATTTCTGTTTAGAGATCTCACCCCACGATTGGGGCACATATCTCAGTTTCAGGTAATGCGGGAGTTGAGACCTCTAGCGGTAGGAGGCCGGAGCTGAGTTAGATGTCTGCTGTTATGATTATATGCTGGATGCTGCTATGTTATCTTTATGATTATACTGTTATTGTTGAGACTGTTGTTGGGCCTTGTTGCCTTATTTGGTGAGCATGGGAATTGTCCATGCCACATTTGATTATGTATCGTTGTTTAGATTTGAGTTGTATAAACTATCAGGTTTGTCCAGCTTACGTGTTGTAGTGCCGTGACTAGAGACACAACTAATGATCTTAATTATGTTTTGAGGTTATTCAGTATAGATATCTGTCTTTTGCATTTACATACAGGAAATGTTTTGGAAATGAATTAAATAATTCAACTTGGTAATGATAATGACATCATAATTGAAAAGAAAAAGAATATTCCACAATTTTAATTAAACGTGGCTTAATACAATGGCACTTTAACAAACCGTATATACACGGAGCGTTACAGACTCACATTCTTATGAAATTAACAACAAAACTCTTAGATCCAGATGTACACTTTAGAGAATAGAAGAGTAAACAAGTCTAATTGCAACAACAACAAAGCACTACTTGGAAAGAATCAGAAGCCATCTTTTTACCCAAGTAGTAGGAGAGAAATAGCTAAAAAAAAAGAAACCAAAAATCGATGTCTCTAGTCCAACACCTAGAAAATAACAGACTCACAATCATAAACTCATTTATGCAGAGTGAAATACAGCATCATGACATGGCCATAGTCATGCATAGCCACTTAATTATTCAACCCCACCACAGCATCATGACCAATCGTGAAAAGAAGGGTATTGAAAATGGAGAGAGCAAACTACTTTCCAAAAGTCTAAAGCCCCCATCACTACCATCTGTGTTAGTGCCAACTCCTGAAGGACCCATACCACTGCCAATCCCTCCCAATACTCCAGGTGTTGTACTATATGGAGAGGAACTAGTGCCAGTGGAACTTGGTGTTGTTGTCACGAGGGTTGTACTAGTGCCTGCAGTGCTGTTTAGGAAAAGGAAACAATGGTCAAAATAGACCTCGTGAGAAACTATTTATCATAAGGAAAGAAGAACCATATTTTTGGCCTTTTGACCAATATAATGCAAAAACACAAATATTTCACCAGCTTAATTCTTTTGACAAATTATTTACCAATCTAATAAGAGTGAAGGAGTGTGCGCATTTAAGTCATGCATCACTCCCATGCTTGACTTGTGCTAAAGTTAGGGTAAAGCAAGACGTGCATATTCTTAATGTGTGTTCAAGTCGCGCATATCCACCTTGTGCGTCTTGCCGAGCTTGACACGTGACAGATGTATTTTGGTTTTTGCACAAGTTGCACATAGGGTGATGCGACACACTCCATGAGCGTTTAGATTGATAAATAGTTTGCCAAAAATATTAAACGGATAATATGCCTCTGATTTTGCATTACATGGTCAAAAAGCCCATATGTTTGCATATGTCCATTACATTTTGTTCCTCGATTGATATTTTTACCAAATATTCCTTTTTGTAATTCCCCTGAAAGAACTAACTTTTGGGCCAACTCTAACCTCAAATTGCACCATTTTAATAAAAATGACCACAGTAGGCATTTTCATATCCACGAGAAGAATGTAACTTGTATAAGTAATTGTCATTGTATGCTTCAATCATAATGAAAATTAAAAACCTAAAGGCCATCGAGAAGTTTTGGTGCACAGGAGTTCACTTTAGTCCAAAGGATGCAATGCAACATTAACATGCCAATGACAATAGAAACATTCCCCAATAAGATTATTATGAGAATTCAAGTAACGATTATATTAGAGGAAAAACTAATTAATTCAAATGTGCTTACACGAAAAAATATTTTGTTAACTCTTCTTTGTGTATTCTAAAGAAAACTACTGTAATTTTTGAATTTTATTTTATAGAGTAAATATCATTTTTAATCCCTAACAAAAAACACAGTCCCCACTTTAGTTCCTTACAAAAATAAATTAGTCTCGAGGTCCCTAACAAATTCAAAGTGAACCCATTTAGTTGAAATTATGGTCCCTCACAAATTTAAAAAAGACACATATTAGTCTCTCAAAAGGACTAAAATGAGTTCATTTTGAATTTGTTAAGGACTAACTGACTAATTTATTTTTGTCAGTGACTAAAGTGGGGACCATGTTTTTTTGTTAGGGACCAAAAAAGATATTTACTCTATTTTATATTCATGAAAAAACACCGATTTTTTTTTTTGAACATAAAAAAAACACCGATATTTGCAATCGTCCCTTTGTTGTTAAAAATTAGCACTGATCAATGGGAAAGAGGAAGAATACGAAGGATTTGAAGTTATTCGAATTTCGAATGAAAATTTGACGGACGTGTTGTATACCCGGAAAAAAATAATAGTAATTAATATTTGTTTGAAATTATGTTTTTTTTCTCTCTAGCTGAAAGGAAAATGATAAAATTATGCATTTGGGTTCAAAAACTAAACAGAAGGCCATTAAGAAGAGAAACAAACAAGGAATTAATTGGCTTAATAAAAACCTTCTAACAAAACAAATCTCTTGTGGTAAAAGGGATAGTGCTCCCATGTGTAGTAAGACTGGTCAAAGAACCATCAAGAAAATCTGGACTTTTCCAAAGTTATAATTGGCTTATAAAGCACCGTCCAACTTTTTTTATTAAAGTTTTATTATCAAATATCATATACACAAAAAAAGTTACTGTTTCATGACCCATGAATCATCAATCATGTATGATAAAAGGTGATTGGTACAGTACTCCACGCCCCTCACCAAAATCCCCAACCTTTATTTCCACATTTTATGACTTGTATACATCTCATGACTTAGTTTGTTCCCACTTCCCAGCAAGGCAAAAAAATAAGTATAAGATAAGAAAAGTTCAATTGGGACAAAATTGTCTTTTCATAAGAAGGGTGGCTTTTATCAAGAAGATTCAACCTCTTAATACATCATGGGATCTCAAATTATTGCAGCATACTATGGCGATGTTAAAACACAATGACACCACGACTATGCAATTAATATTATCACCAATAAATGGACAATGAGTTGGCCACATCATCATGCACTTTCATTATTGATCAAATGAGAAAGAGATTCGCTAGGCCAACGGTAGGTTAGAGAGTGACAAAGAAGACAATCAAAGAATTGAAAATTTAATTTTCCCAATATAAGGAGGGAAGGTACTCATCTTAAAAAAATTACGAACAAAAATTAAAAATAAAAAGTAATGCTGCAAAAACGTTTGAATAAAATAATTACACATATTTGTTATATATTTTCATTTATTAAGTGTTATTTTAACCCAAAGAATAAATAAATGGTTCGCTTTTTTTGCAGTTACTGCAGATAAATTATCTACAGTAAGCCCATACGACGTCGTTTTGAGGCAGAAATCATGGTGTTTTTGTAATTTTAATTTATTTCAGAGTTATTATAGTCTTTATAATTATAATTTTTTAATCTTTCAATTCCAAAACGACGTCGTTTTAGAAGTAGATGCAGATAATTTATCTGCATTAACTGCAGAAATATTTTTCTGATAAATAAATTAGGGATTCAAAACAAATAAAGCAAATCAAAACTGAAATTTCATACTGACCAATAAAAGTCTGAAATAATTTAAGCCTATTCAATGCTCCCAACCAATGTTATTAAAATCGGTCTAGTCATTGAACGATCCAGGTACTGGGTCATTGGTTTAACCAGTGAGTCACTGGTTGAACCGCATAACCCGGTGATTATACGTAAATCTATAATTTATATTAAAAAATTATAAACATACTTAAATAGCTGAAAAAATAATATAAATTATAAATATTTTAATATAAAAAATAATAAATTATACATTATTGTCCAATAAAGGATCAAACAAACATATAATACTTGTGACATTGGTGTTTCAGATTCAGTAAACGACATCTCTAATTATAAATCGAATCAAAATTCTCGGCATAATACATAACTGATATAATATTAGTATTGTAGGTATATAATTTATGTAAGTCAATAAGTAACAGATCACTCAAATATATCAATTATGATTTTTTTTGAAAAACTTTATTTTGGAAATATTTTTTTTAAAAAAAATCCGGGCCGGGTCACCGATTTTACCAAAACCGACCGAGTCATATCGGGTTTGATACTTGACCGATCCAATGTGATAACCGAACCGGTCAAATGACTGGTTCACCAAATTCCAGGTCGACCCGGCCAATCGGAGCCATTTTTTACAACATTGCTACCAACCCCCATTATGAGAAAAGTAAAGCCACTAGCCACTATGTATAAAAAAAAAAACTAGCCACTACATTAATATCTACCAACCATGTAGCTAAAATCAGAATTTAAATCATGAAATCGAGATTTTATTTTTGACCAAAACGACTTCGATTCCATGTAAAATCGTTTTCCAGGTGAAATCGATAAAATCGTATTGTTAAATAGTAAAATCACAAAATCTCTACGTTTTTTATGCTATGAGCGATTTTAAACCCTTTGTCTCTGAAATCTCAACCTCGCCCTAAACCTTTGTTTCATCTCCGAAGTCTCCGAATCTCAATCTCTACGTTGTTTCTCTCACCAGAGTTGTTCGTCGGAGGTGGTTTCTTCAAAGCTGTGAAAACTTGTTTCTTGTGGTGAGAACATTTCATTGGAAGCTGTGGGTGTATTTTGGGCTGATGGGAAAATCAATTCGCTTGAATTCCTGGCATAATAACAAGTTTCATCCTACCAACTCGAGTCGCGCTCCCTCGAAGTTTTCTAGCTCCTTTCAACTGTTTCTTGCTCTGGGTTTGTTTGAAACAATATTACAGTGGAACTGGAGCTCTTTGTGTTCGTGTATTTTATAAGGAAACTTTAATGGCTGTGCTACGGCTTTTTTACATGCTTGCAATCTCTGTTCCTGCTTATGGAGGTTAGTGTCTTTTTTTTTGTCTCTCTCTTCTCTGTTTCTCTTCTGTAATTTCAGTACCTATTTCTATGTTCATTTTGTGGCTATGGTTAACACTGATTTGTTGGTGATTAATCTATTTATATATATTCATTAATGGGTTTTCTATTTCATAATGACAAATGGGTTTGGTTTTCTAGTACTGTTTGGCTTCTAGTTTTTGTGTTTTTCTTCATCATATTGACTTCGTCCATTCATCAGTACCAACTTCACCTTGTGGTTATTCTAATCATTATTTTCCTGTGTGCAGAATCTCTGATCTGTTATTTTAGTGAGATTTTGGGAACAATGTTATTGTGTCCCAGCTCATCAAGCAATTATTTTGCTGTTTGCACTTAACTTCAATTTTGTAAAAAGAAATGTAACGGGACTAAAATACCCTCCTATTTTTCTTAATTTATATATATATATATATATATATATATATATATATATATATATATAAAAATTTAATTTTAGAGAAAGGGTAAAATTTACTATTTGTATTATGATTTTACGTTTTATAATTTTTTATTTCACTTACAATTTTTTTTATAAAATCCCGAATTTAATTATCTTGGTACAAACTTCCCAAGAAAGGATTTATAAAATCGACCACATATCGATATAAAACTTAAAAAGCAAAAGTAAATAAAGAAAAAATGTTATGTTTATCTCATTTTACATGAAATAAACAACTCTCCTACACACACAAACAAGGGTTAGGTCTCATTACTCTTTTTCTCTCTCCCTGTATTAGTGGATCTCACTTAACCTTTTATTTCTACAACAGAAGATAAATTTTTTCATACAACATAACATAAGAAAAATATATTCCATAAAAAAAATACACTAATCAAGGGTAAAAAAAAAAGTAGGGGAATCACAATCCAAGCTAAAAAAGGCAACAGAAGATGAGGATCAAGAGGGTTTCAAAATCCATACCTGGCGCTTGGGTAGGAACAACCTGGAGTGCCTGCTCATCAAAAAAGAGAAAATGGAAAGAAGAAAAAAAATCAGCAATCTAACATTTTTTCCTTGTTTTTATGAATACATTGAAAAACAAAGGAGGAAAAGAGTGGGGTTCAGAATTTACTGGGATTTGATGCAGTAACTACGGCTGTTCCTGCAAAGTCACAAGACCCTGGCGCTTGACCCATCCTTTGGAAATAGCTGTTAACGGCATAGTTGCAGTGAGCTCTAAGAGTGTTGGGTTGAAAACAAAGACCATTTTGTCGAGGAGGACAGTCATCACCAACAGCTCCACAAGCATTGCCTAAGGTCTTTTGCAGGATTGTATCACTTCCATCCTTGCAAACGCACCAAGAAGCACCTATCACATCCCACAAAAAGATTAAGCTAATATATATATATATATATATAGTTACCGTATCGTTCTAATTTTGTTTAGTTAGAGATTATTGGATATAGTGATCAATAACCCATAATGAGTATAAGGCTTCTTACTATTACCCGGTATAGATTAAGAGATAAGAAAGAAAGATTACATCTTGGGGTAGAAAAGGGGAGAAAAAGAAATTAAGATAAATTTATTTACACTAACAAAGCCAAAGATGTGTATAAATCATAATTGAATGCAACTTCACAAAGAAAGGAAGAAATGTGAAATGACACACTCTTTGCAGATGATTGATACATAACTCTAGCTATATACCAAGCAAGAATAAAAATCACATCTTTGACAGTTTTTTCTTTTTGGGAAAAGAAGAAGGACAGAGAGATCAAACAAAAAGAAGGAAGATCTCAACCCATGTTTAAAATGATACTTTTCAGCTCAGCTTCAATTAAAAGAAGATAAAACGTAGAGTTAAAATGCATACTTGAAGAGCCAATGAAGGCCAACAGAACCACTGTACGAGCAAGAGTTGCCATGTTACTTGGAAGAGACAGCAATGGTGAGAGAGAGAGAGAAGGAAAGAATGGTGGGTGCGTGACAATGTGAGATTAGTTGATGAGAGTGGCGAAGACAAAAATAAATAAATAAGTGATATGATTGACGTAAGGTTGTGTAAATGGAGGTACGATAGTTGGCCCGCCTGATATGATTGACGTAAAGTTGTGGAAATGGTGGTACGATAGTTGGCCCGCCTTGTGAGTGCTTTTTTAGATATTCTTGGGGTATCTTGTAGAGTGAAATATTTAATATGCTTCATGATTATCTAATGATTTGGTATTTTCTCTCACAATATTATTATTTTTTATTTTTTTTTATTTTTTTTTAATTTTATCCTTCTATTTACACTAAGAGATCACTTAAAAAATAGTAGTCCCATACCACAATAAATCCTCTCGTTGTGAAGACAAAAATGTCATATTTGGTAAAAGGACGTCTTGAATCTGTCATGGAAAATATGGTTTACAGGAATTGTTTTAGGACTTTATGTATGACATATTACAAGATAAAAATAACATTTCCTGCAGACATAATAAATCAGTGGGGTCCATCAATTTGTTTTTCTCACTCCTCAATTCATTTTCTCGGTCCTTATATCTATGTCTGCTGGAAACTTTTACTTTATCCTACAACATTATTGTTGTATTTCCCATTGTTTTAACATATGGAAAGTTTAACTAAGATTGTGGTATTTCATGATTTCAATGAAGTGGAAAAATATTGACTAAATTATGACACAAAATTACCCTCTATCCTTAGTAAATTCATGTTTGTTGTTTTTTAAAGTTCGGGTTAATTTCTTAAACTCATCATATATTTTTAAAAATATTTTATCATCAACCAAACATAAATTCAATAAATTTATCTAATATTTTAGATAATATTTACGCTTATTAAACAACTTTTTGATAACATTTTCAGTAAACTCACTTTCCCAGCATACTATTAAAAAATATGATTCCCGAACACAATATTTTCTTCTTCCAAACACCTTTTGCATCTTTATAGATAGGGCTACTAGTTATTACGCTCAGGTTCTTTCCCTTTTATCAAGGAAGGAAATATTTTCATAGGGACTCGCGAAAGCTTAATACAGAAGAGTGTGTGGCCTGAGAGAAGTGAACTTAAATTCTATTTCTGTTAAATTATATCATACAAATAAAAATGTTCCTAAACAATGACTCTAAGAAACTATGACTTAACTGTTAACAGACATCGAGCCCTGAACCAATCTATCAAATTCTCCTTGCTTCCTCTCCTGCATGTCATAAGGGAAATATCGACCCAGAAAGCAATCCTCGAAGAATGACCATGTCATAACATGACCCTGCATCTCAAAAGCATGAGAGGTGTTCATCCACCACTCATGGGCATCGCCCTCCAGCATGTAAGTCGAAAAACATCAGCTTCTGTGAATCAGTACACTGCATGACCCGTAATATCTTGTCCAGCGTCTGTAGTCATCTCGCTGCAGCAATAGGATCCAAAGACCCATCAAACACAAGTGGCTTATGCTTCCTGAAAGCATTCAGCCGGCGATCAATCACGTCACGATCCTCAGCATGCCCTACCAAGGTCTCCATCGTCTCAGCGACATGAGTAGCACTACCAAAGTGACCCAGGCTCTCATCCTGAACACTAGGTGGAGGCGGCGGCGGCGGTGGCGGTGGTGGCAGTGAAAACTGACCTACAGCAGGACCAACCCTCATCTCCTCCAACATGATTCTCATCATCGTCACGTTCGCCATCTTGTTCGCCTCGAGGACATCCTCAGTGGTCCTCCGGTTCGCTTCGCGAACGTCTTCTGCGGCTATCTGGTTCGCCTCGCGAACAACATCCATCGTTGCCGCGTTGGCCAATCTAGTGGCCTCCTGATCGGCTAACCTAGTCGCCTGCATCACAGCCAATGCAGTCAGGATAGGATCGGGTTGATCCTCAGAAGTCTCTCGTGTTCTCCTGGACCTTACCATGACTCTGCACAAGTTACACACATTATGAGTTGATCAGGCTCACACAATGTGATTACATATGCATTATCATAATAAAATTCGACGGAGTAAACACACAAGACAGACGCAACCAAACACCCTAGCTATTGCAATACATACAGGCTTTTCCCTCGAACCATTGCTCTGATACGTCGGAGCGGGACCCACCCGTCAAGCACAAAAATAAATTTTGAAAAATTAGTTTCTTTTTCTTTAATCAATGTAGTTCAATTCTTTGGGGTGAAATAAATGTTTAAAATCTCATTAATAATTTGCACATTTAGTATAAGGTAACCGTTTTTTTTAACGGACGATGTAGGGTGCTAATACATTCCCTACTCGTAATCGACTCTCGAATCCAATTTTGATTTCAAAGACCAGTTTTATCAAATAAAAGGGTTTTTCCAATGTTTTCCCAAATAAACCTTGGTGGCGACTCCATTGTTTTTAATCTTTCAAATCTTTCGCCTTCACATCGCGATTCGATCGCGACAATCAGTAAAGGTAATAAAGTAGGAATATCCACCTCTAGCCTCGACAGATATTGGACCACATACATCAGAGTGAATGAGTTCTAATAACTCACTAGCCCTATGACTCTCAAGTCCTTTGGGCTTGGTCTGAGTCATTTTCCCAGCTAGACAATGTTGGGTTTAGTATGCTCTTTACACTTGAGCCCAATGGCTTTAGTGAGAGTGAGCCCAAAGTCCAATTTTAACCCATGAAGCTTAGGGTTAGTTTTGGATTGCGCAGGGTATATAAACACACTTTTCTCCCTTGTGCCTCCAAGGGTTACAGACATCAGAAACACAAAGAGGCAGACGTTCATCATCTGAACGGTTGCCCACACGACCACCTAATCCCCTGTAACACCCCGTGTATACTCGGAATATTAACATTACATCGTATTAAGCGGTGCTTAATTAAAAATGCGGAATATTCTTTTTCTTTTCAATTATGACGTCATTATCAATTACCAACTTGATTACTTAATCAATTTCATAAAATATCGCCTGTATGTAAATTGCAATAAGACATCTACTGAAATACCTCAATATATAGATAAAGTGTGTATCTAAATCACGACATTACATCAAGTAATCCGGACAATATCCTGATACATTATTACAACTCCAAAAGACTCAAGACATAATAATACTATATGTCATGGACAATCCCCATACTCACCAAATAAACATAGTAAACAACAAGTCTCAACATCAAACTCCAAAACATAAACTGAAGCTATAAGCATAAAAGCAGCATGCAAATCCAGCATCCAATCATGGCAGCATAATATAACAGCAATCTAACTCAGCTCCGGCCTCCTGCCGCCTGAGGTCTCAACATTACCTGACCCTGAAATAAGCATTCCCCAAACGTGGGGTGAGATCTCTAAACTAGAAATCTCAGTAGGACAAGGGGTCCTCAAGGATCTTCCACCCCAAGCTCACTTACATGTGCAATATAAGTTCAAAAAGCATTTATATCATTATCAGTTCCAAAACTATGTAGTGCAACAAATATCTATGGCATGTGTGTAATCACTATCTACTGGCCAGAGAAATGTAGGAATACGTCTATTCCCTACATGTAGTACAAGGAACACCGCTTGCAACTCACCCACAGTGTAAGAACTCGCACCGTTAATTAAGGTATTTAATTAATTAATTATGTGAAAATAGGAAATGATTCCAAAATTGAAGCTAATAATTATTTATGAGGCTTAATAATCATAATTAGTGATTAAAAATGCTGAAAGTCGCTTTTCGGAAGAAAAGTGCATATACCGGTTCTGCTAGTCGGTATAAATGTGTACCGAAAAAGTATCCCAGAAAATTAATGTAAGTGCATGATAATTACTAGAATAATATGTAGGACTTGTAAAACGAGTTTCAAGTCCAAATAATGAGAACTGGTGCTAGAAACCGATACTGGCTCTGAAAAGCGCGTACCGGAAAGTTGCTCAGAAAAATATAAGAAAAATATGTTAATTCTTAGAAAATTATTTAATTTCATAATCCAAAGTTTGGGATTAAAATACTAAGCATAGCATTTAAAGTTAATACTGTGTGCTTAAGTGAGTTTTGGCTATAAATACACTTACTAAGGGCACAATGCCCTAGAAAACTGCCTCTTCTTCGTGGGATTGGGTGGCTGGTCTGAGTGTGTCACTGTTTCATCCCTTTCTTCACCATTTCTTGAGCTTTGAGGCTTTCTCTTCCTTGAAAGCTTCTCTTAAACACTTGTGTGAGGGAGAGTCACCTTTGGGAAGGGGTTTGTGGTGCTGTTTCTGAGTAAGGAGGTCAGCTCGAGGGAGTGTTGGAGGCTGACTTTGGGTTGGTGGAGTGAGTGAACCTTGTACTTCATTTTTGAGGTCCAAGGAGCCACCTTTGGTGAGGAAGAGCCTTGCTTGTCTTCCATTTTCGCACACCCTGTGTGGTCAGCAGTTGAGGGGCTGTTGGTGAGCTCCAAGAGCATCTCCATTCTGAGTTTTGAGCCTTGGTATGTTGTACCAACCTTTAACTTGAGTTTTAAGGCTTAAAATGGAAGCTTGATGCATGTTAAGGTTAAAAGATGATAACTTGTTGTTGGGTAAGGCTTAACACACCTAGAAATGCATGATTAGGTGTTTAAAATCGGTAAAAGGGAACCTTTTTGGGATATCTTCACGAAAATGCAGAAACTGCATTCTGTCGTGAAATATCTGGATATCTGCCCGTGGAATATCCGGATATTGGATATCCGGATATGATATCCGGATATGTGTATTTGGATATGGGGTTTTGGGATATCTGGATATTGTATATTCGGATATGGGATTCTGGATATCCGAATATTGCATATCCGGATATGTACAGTGAGATATCCGGATATTGAATATCCGGATATGGTCCCGAGGAATATCCGGATATCCTGGGATTTCGCAGAACAGTAGCTGTGCTGTGCATACAGTAGGCTATTGGGGGTTTGTAGACCCTAGTTTGATGAAGTTGAACTTCTGTATTTAATGGATTAAGCCAGAATCATGGGATTAAGGGCTTGTGGCTT